GAGAGAGAGAGAGAGAGAGAGAGAGAGGGAGATTGAGAAAATTGGTAAGGGGCACAAACCAGATATATTAGACAAAATAGTACATTTTGTATTCTCAGAGTGTGTGAAGTTTCTTATTTATTTATTAACATTGGTAATGTTCTGTCCACAGCGTGGGTCAGCGTCAGTTGGTGTGTTTGGCACGGACTCTGTTGAGGAAGACCAAGATCCTGGTGCTGGACGAGGCCACAGCGGCTGTGGACTTTGAGACAGACGAGCTCATCCAGAAAACCATCAGGACACAGTTCCAGGACAACACGATACTCACCATTGCTCACAGACTCAACACAATACTCGATTATGACAGGTAACCTGAAGGGAGGGACGCGCTTTTTCGTATAATATATGAATAACATTGCAAACGTATGCATCATTGATCAATACAAGCGTCAGGGCGTATAACAGTTAGGCTCCGTAGTTTGGTAAAGGTTTTACGGCGCTCTCAACTGCATAAGGTCAAATGAGCGAAGTCAGTCTCTTCGAAATTGCACACAGAAGACGCGAGTCCAATTTCCTGAGTCGTGAAGTTTTTATAACGTATCTCCATCTGTCTGCCGCGATGTTATATCCCACACAACACTGGTTGACTGCCTACATCTTATATTACAATAATATTATTAGTTATCTCAGTGGGACGCAGAAACGTACAATTTACTGCTCACAGTTAGAAAAGGTGTGACCTCTTCTTCCGATTTTGATGAACAACTGGCCGAGCAAAGAATACGAACAGCGACATGGGTGGTATCCTATCCAGGCTATATTATGGTTCTGTGTAATAAAAAAAGATTTAGAAAAAGTTTCCCTATTCAAGCATAATACTGTTTTGTCTCGATTCCCTTCCGCTTGTGTCGTCTTGATAATCTGACTAGTTTCAGACATGCAGTGACTGAGAACGATTGTGCCAGCTTTTGATTATACAACACCTACAAAATACAAGCACACGATTTGGAAGTGTCATTATTTGTATTCAGTTGTCGCTCTTTGTTTTACTTCTTGGTTTTAGGCATGTTTTATTTTTACAGTTATGAATTGAGACATCCACGTTCTGACAAATAAATAGTTTTGTTGGTAAATGTATACTCAACTAAATTGGAGACGCAATAGGAAACACGCCTTGGCAAAGTTCTCTCTATATTTCAGATAAATAATTTAAGACTATTCTACGTTTAGGTTCCTAAATCCCGTGAATTGTAGGGGAAAATATCTCTCATGACATTCACCTTTGCAAAAACAGGCTAATTGGTTTGTACTCTGCAGTATTTTTCTACACTGTGATTGAATGTATTAATGACTGACGTTCATGAAGTAAGAGTCCTAGGTTAGGTCTTAGAGCGTTGAAATCCCAAACGTAAGGCCTTAGATTCGCGCTCAGTTCTGTTGGATTACAAACCTACTATTTATTTTTAAGGTACATGTACTTTGTATCATCTTTACCAGGTCTCCCTGATGTGAAAAACCACCCCAAAATCACCCTTGTTATTTAAACATACAGACATAGCTGTTATAAAAAGACTCAGTATTATGGACTATCATACCCCAATGTTTTTCAGACTATCCCACAATTACTTTTGTCTCCACAGAGTCATGGTGCTGGACCAAGGCTTGATCAAGGAGTTTGATGCTCCCAACGCTCTACTTTCTGACAAAAATGGTGTCTTTTACGGCATGGCCAAAGATGCTGGACTTGTTTAGTGGATAGTCCATCAGCACCTGTCAAAAGGAACTTGAAAGAGAGAGAGAGAGAGAGAGAGAGAGAGAGGAGGGAGGAGAGAGAGAGAGAGAGAGAGAGAGAGAGAGAAAGAGAGGAGAGATGACTGGCAGAGAGAGAGAGAGAGAGAGAGAGAGAGAGAGAGAGAGAGAGAGAGAGATAGGCCTGTACTGAGAGAGAACAAAATGAGCGAGTACGGGGCAGAGATTGAGTGAAATAAATGAAAGAAAGCAAAAGAGAGGGAAAGAG